GCGGGGGAGGGCTAACCCCCCCCCTCTAGGGAAATGTTGAGCCCACCCCTCAGTAAAATCTTTAAACCATGCATTTAATTCGTCAAAGTGGCTTAAAGGCCTGTAAAAGGCGGCTGAGTCCTCTCAGGAAATTCTTAGCCCTCCATAGCTCCTCCCGGTCCAATCCATGGCTCCGCAACTAGTCAGATTGGCTCGTAAGTCTGCCACCGCTCCTAGTTTTGAATCTCAATAGTTTAGAAAGATACAGCTTGGAATATTGCACATTTCTGTATAATTCGTTTGCTTTTAATTGAATGCCAAAACATTTTTTAGAGTTGAACTAGTCTGCGGATCTATATCACTTTTGGGTATTTTGCGTGACATGTATGATACCCATACATTTTTCGTTTGTCTATTGTATATGAAAACTAATAGTGCAGATCGACGTAGGTTTTCGCGCTCTACAAAATAATATATTGTTCAAGTTTATCGATAATTTTTCTACCAGATAATGCAGGGTCAAACACGTCAAATATTTGACGCGTTTGACCCGACACTATTTGGCAGAAAAACTATTGATAAACTTAAACAACATATCATTTTGTAGAGCGGGAAAACGACGTGAATTTCTCTAGGGAGCTAAGCCTCCCCCCCCCCGCTGGATCCACCACTAAATCCAACGGTATCCTTTCTAACCTAATTCAAGTATTTGCAGCTGAAAGTAGGAATGAGAAGTTACCGTTACCGTTCCCGGGTAATGGTAACGGCCCCGTTACCAGTTACCCGGGAGCTGGTAAGTTTTCCGTTACCGTTACAGTTACCGGGTAACGATCCGGGAAAGGTAACTTCCCACCCTTAGCTGAAAGTAGATAGTTCATATATATAATATGCAGTCGATATTGATATATTTATTATTAAATTTCCCGATTCGAGCCAACCCGCTACTAATCTGGAACCTCAATCTCATTTTTACTTCTCCTAAGCATTCAATTGAATTTCCAGCAAATTTTCCTTATAGTCATTTCATTTGAATTTCCTGAGAATAGGAATTTACCATCGCATGAAAAATGAAGAGTGCGTGGACAATTGGTGAATTAAAAATACATTCGAAATGTATTGTGTGAGTGGATGTTTTAAATACTCTTTTTTTCCGTGTTCGGCAAAGTTATGCTCCTTCAGAAAATACTATAGAGTTAGACTGAAAAGACATTATACTGTAGGGACTTAAAGTGTTTGAATTTCGGAAAAGGGTCGTGACTTTTGTAAGGTTCTTACCAATGAAGGCTCGTATAAAATCGTTTTGAACTTGTTTCAATTTTCGCAGTGAAAATTTCTTTTAGATCCCAATGCAATTCCAATCGGCTCACTCTACCCTGTTGACTGTTATGTGTACTAATATATTTATTAATACCTACCTGTGTATCCAGCCGTCCCTAGCATTCATTCCAGTAAACTGACACACGAAAGTCTACACCGACTCCCTTAATGTAGTACCTTTAACTAGCGCTTCAATCTAACCCTTTACTCTAGTTCATCAATTTTCTTCTTTGATCGATTTACATAGGCTATTAATTGATCGGACTCATTTATCTCCATCTATTCTCTTAATATAAATTCTAAGACTGTTCCCATAAGCACCCCTCTCCCTCATCATAGAATCTCTCATCCCGAACAAATTGTTGAGCTGAAGCTTTGCGCATACGTTGTACGTGGATAACCATGCGCAAGAAAAAAANTTATCACCATCTATTCTCTTAATATAAATTCAAAGACAGTTCCCATAAGCACCCCCCCCCCTCAAAAAAATCTATTCTCGTCAAAAACACGAAAGTTGAGATAAATGCATGGGAAGATAGCCCAAAGTCTGCTCTTTCAAAATATCTATATCGTTTTATTTGTTGTGTAGTTTTTACCAAAAGCTTTTGGCGATTTTCGTCACCCCCTACTTCAAAAAATAAGCTATTTTTGGAAAAATCGAAAAATCTTTTCATTTTGTTTCAGAACATGGGTTCGACGATATATCTCCAGCACCTTTCTATGACAGTACGTGATAAAGCCAAATAGATTTTTGCGTGAAAGCTTGTGTCTATGGCTAGGCACGCTCGTGCCCCTTTTGTGAGACATGATCTAAACGGAGTGTTGAAATGTTTACGGGCAGACATTTGGACCCCCGCCCCACAGACCGGGACAGACATTTTAATTAATTAATTAATCACCATCACAGAGCGTGACAGGCAGGGTTCGGGTGTCATAGACCATGACCAACAAGCTTCAGGGCCATCAGACACCGCGACAGGTAGGATTACGGAGCATCACAGAAATGATAGACGGGCTCCAGAGGCGTCATTAAATGTCACCAATTTTCTAAACAGGATTAGTGAATATATGTCACTAATTTCTGTTTGAGATTATATTTACTGTTTCTATATTTCAGCTCCAGTAGGTAAATGGGAATTAATGAGTGCATGACTACGAGATTTCATGAAATAAAACAGGATTTTCATGGCTGTTAAGAGCAGCTACATCGTGTTTCACATTTTTAATCCCAAAGGGATTGCGCTACCAGCTTTATAAAAAAAGGACTTTGCAGAGAAAAAATTGTAATTTTATTTCTCAAATTTCGCCATTTCCATCGAATTTTCCCACTACCTTAGGATTATGATCTGACATAGGAGAAAAATCGAAGGAAATTGAAAAAGCGCCGACAAGAGTCCCTAACCGCAAGTGTCTTCTTCAAAATAAAAGAAGAAAATTGGCTCTATCTCTTAAGGCAGCTGAACAGCTTTGGCGATATTAAGGCACCAAAAATGGCTACTAAAATTGACCTATCTCCGACTAACGAAAAAATACAAGGCTGCATTTTTTTTCTTGCGCATGGTTATCCACGTACAACGTATGCGCAAAGCTTCAGCTCAACAATTTGTTCGGGATGAGAGATTCTATGATGAGGGAGAGGGGCTAATTGACCCTGATAATGTATTCGTTTGATCTATTTCGATATTGCATCGCTTTGATATGTTCGTTTAACTTATCCGGTAATGTAAGTACGTTAGCTTTTTGTTCAATCTACCCTTAATCTACGCTCCTGCCGGGCTCATGTAAAAATTTAGCTATCACCCTGTATGAAAAAGAGAGCTTCTTGAAACAGGACGATCGTTGACACTGACTTTGCATTTAAGATTGGCTTAAGAATGAAACATTAAGAATAATGAGAACTGGTCGGTTAATTTCATCTTAGTCATTAATATTAACGGTCAGCAGATCACCTAACCGTTATTATAAAGTTAGACTATACATCCTATTCCACAATGTTGAACATTCCGGAACCAGTTCCGTGCACGGTACTAATTCCATCTAATTCCCGCAATTCCGTTTATCACTTACAACACAATTCCGGAATTCGCGGAATCACTGCCGACCAATTCCTCGGAATTCCCGAAATTCCGTGTGATTCAGGAATTCAGTGCACCCGCACTGATTCCCACACCCACACTTATGGCACCACCCGCACTGACACCCACAAATGTTTGATGACGAATGTAATTCCGTTACGGAATTCCTGGAATTAGGTCGAACAGGAATTGAACGGAATTCCGGGGAATTCCGTCTAATGCCCACGTATTCCGCTTTCACCTAATTCCGGAATTCCGGACCGGAATCAGATCATTATTACATGGGCAAGAGAAGAGAGAATAGTGATACAAATTGTAATTCCAGAATTACCCGGAATTTCTAGGAATTCCGGGAACTCCTTGCGATTCCGGAATTCAGTGACCAATTAACAATTGATATCTCTTACTGCTCGATGACGCATGCAATTCCGTTACGGAATTCCGGGAATTAGGTCGAACAGGAATTGAACGGAATTACACGGAATTCCTAGGAATTCCAAGCGATTCCGCTTACATCTAATTCCGGAATTGGTCTGAATTCCGTGCAATTCCGTGCAATTCCGGGAATCGTTCGAACTGGTTCCGGAATTGATGGAACTGATTCCGGGGGCGGAACTGGTTCCGGACTGTTCAACATTGCGGAATAGAGTGACTGCTCTAAAGTTCAAGTTTTTCCTGTTAAAACATAATTAACTTGAAATTACAGGATGTGGGTGTGTGGGTGTGTAGCAGTGTCTGGGATGTGACTCTGGCTGTGGCTGTGGCTGTGGCTGTGGCTGTGGCTGTGGCTGTGGCTGTGCGTGCCGATGAGGATATTGTGTCATTTCGAACACAACGCCCACCCACCCACACCCACACCTTGCGGATTATGTTTAAGCTGAAATGGTGCGGTTAGGCTAAAGTCTTCAGCCATATACCAAGAGATTTTGCGGAGATCTTCATCAAAGAATGTGGAGAGTCGCCCATTTGATCTCCCGAAATTTTCTCTAGCTCTTCATTCTGTGTATTTAAGTATCTTTTGTTTGAAAGAGAGAGTCGCTATGGAACGTTGTGGAAAATATATTTTTAAATTCTTAATTTCGTTAAGCCAGAATAAAATGTCAATGCAGTCACTAAAAACAATTTGTTCGCAAAGTCTGAGTTTTAAACCATATTAGAGAAATTTAGTGGGGATTGAACTTCTCGTCATTTTTGTCTTCAGAAAAGTAAGGATTTAAAACAGAGCTTCAAAATGCAATGTATTCTGACCTTCTCTTGGAAACGAAAAATATTCAATGCACAGAATGAAGTGCCAAAGTGAATTTAGACGAACCAAATGACCTATTTTTGACTATTTTCCGATGCATGTGCCTAGAAAAGCGTATGGTATGAAGCCGAACACTTTAGCATAGTCCTCCAACTTTAGATTAAATAAATCCTAACATTTTCATGCGGTTTGAGCTTATTTGACCCTGAACCAATCATGAGGACAAGGGGACATCAGTAGTTAAATGACCCATTGACAGTTGTTGTTCATGAATCAAGTGATGTCTGTGGTTCGCTTTTTAGTAGTATCAATCATTGGGTGAGCCAAATCATGCTTTGCATTAATTAAGTTGCGTTAAAAACCATAGTCCATCCTGAATCCTATGTCTCTTTCGGCAAAATGTTAAAGCGCTCAATGATTAATGGAATAATACGTGATTACTGCATAAGTAAATCACTCGCCATTGGCTTAACAATGAACTTCTTGTTAGAGATTATGAAATCTAAAGGCAGTCATGCAACATCCAAAATCGATCGTAGAATGAATGTAAATGGATAAGCAGGAGAACGAAGCCAGATCCTCAGGTTTCTGATTGATGAACATTTACGTGTTTTATAGAAGAGATAGGGGAAGCAATTAGTCTAATGTGAAATCTCTTGATAGTGATGCCTTTAGAAGGTGCAAGACAAAACCTTTTTGGCTAAGAGAACCTCTAATGGTTTCACACAAAACGTAATAGATGTCGTGAACTCTAAAATGGTTTATTCTATGTGTACGATACCTTATAATTTTCAGTAGAGTTCTTGTAACCATCATCAGTTCCGTAAGGTAACATTTTTTACAGGATACAGATGATTGGACTGAATTTCAGCATTTTGTTTCTACAAGACGCTGTACGGACAAGTGTTCTGTTAGAGAATCGACAAAAAATGCTTGTTGACTGTCATGACAGCGTGCTCGACTGCATTAAGCACGCTACACTTTAAAAAAATCATCACTTTACGGAACCTCAGAGGATTTCGTAGGTAAAAAAAGGGTTGCGTACAATCTACGAAACTTTTAAAGGTTTCGAGTTTTGTAACGAATTCTGAACCTGTTTAGGTTTCGTAGCAAACCCTAAAAAGCCCTACCGAACCTTTAAAAAAGACTGTTCGATCAATGAAAATAATTTTGAAGGGGTCAAAGGTTTTTACGAAACCACTTCGAAGGTTTAAAATTCGTTACAAACATGGTTCGGTATGATGCCTAGTTTTTTTAGTGTAGTATGATCAGTGTTTTTTCATTTTTTTCTTCTCCAATTCAATAACCAAACCAATGGGACGAAATTGATGAAAACCTCTTCATGCGCGGGTAATTTATTCTGCATATCTTTCTTTCGCAAACAAAAAAAAACTTTCAAAAGGAAAGAAAAGTTTTTTTTATCAGCTTCTTTCATTTTTTTGCGAATGTTTCGAGCTTGTCGAAAACAAATACTTAAGCAGCAAAAATGTCCAGTAGCTTTGCATTCACCGAAATTTTCAGAGCGGTTTGATTATGGTAGGATTCTTTGGTATCTTCGGAAAAATGCAGTCTTATTTCTAGTCGACAACCACAGAAGGTATACAAGCTTTTGATCATGTCACATTCTGGGTCGGAAATGCTTTGCAGGTAGAGTCTGATTTACTTTCGAATTTTCTTGTCGTATAATTGAGTAGGCTGCTTCGTGGTATTGCATTCGATTTGGATTCACACCGTATATGTACAAAGGCTTAGAAACAGGCACACGTGATGTTGTCAGTCATGTAATCAAACAGAACCAGATTGTGTTCATATTTCAATCGGCACTTGCGCCCAACAATGCACAACAAGGTCATCATCTTATGTGCCACGGTGATGGTGTAAAGGATGTGGCATTCTCCGTTAACAATCTAGACTTAGTGGTGGAAAAGGCTCGTACCAATGGAGCTACGATCGTGAAAGAAATATGGAGTGAGAACGATGATCATGGCACCGTACGTATGGCATGCGTGCAAACGGTAAATCATCCGTAGGGAGCAGGATCATAAAACCATTTTTCTTCTGAGCAGTACGGCGACACAACGCACACTCTGATTGATCGATCGGCCTACAAAGGTGATTTTTTGCCTCATTTCAAGCCACATACCATCGATGATGCACTCTTGAATCGATTGTAACTGTCAAAAAATATTTTTATAAAAGTAATGTAAAAGTACTTGTGTATAGATCTGATACGAACTTGAAATTTGTCGATCACATCGTTGGCAATATGCCCAATAATGAAATGGAAGCGACAGTACAATGGTATAGTTATGCCAGGTTGCAGAGATAGTTCTTACTTTTACTTAAAGGTATGAGAAGACGTTTCAATTTCATCGTTTCTGGTCTGTTGATGATGCTGTTCTTCACACGAACTACTCGTCACTGCGTTCCATTGTCATTGCCAATGGTCAAGAGACTGTGAAAATGCCAATAAATGAGCCAGCATCGGGCAAACGCAAGTCACAAATTCAAGTATTTATTACAATATACGATTTTCCTGAAGACCGAGAGAAATTTTTTTCTGAAGGACGGAGGCGTATAATAACAGGGTTCGACCCACAAACTTATTTTCATAAGACGTTTATTTTCCGAGGCAGAGTTTTACGTTCAATCTCTTGATGCCAAATTCAATACATTTTCGAAACCGGGCCACGTCTTCCAGCCAATGACAAATATACCCTATTTTTTCCCACTGCAGAACAGTTATGTTTTTCAAAACATGACTTGATAAAGCTTCAAATAGTCTCATCTGAAAGAGCGTAAAAGCCAAAATAAAATCATATATGAACCAACTAAAAATAGCCAACATCAGTAACAATTCCTCAGCACTCACTTCGTTTTCCTCATAGGGATCTGGAAAGTCGCTTATTTTAGTCCCGGCCCTGGCCCCAGTCTTTGGCAATGGCTTCATTTCTAAAATCGGGCAACTTCTTTTACGATCTGTGTACTTTTATGAATACGTAAAATCGATATAAATGATTTTGATCCGTTAACATCACGAGACTTCTGTTATATCCAGTGTTAAAGTTGAATGTATACAAAATTAATGCAAGCGCCTTTGAGTTGGTGTTACTTCAAGAATCAGTTTCATATGTGGCTACTGCAAAGTGGTTCCGGTCCTGGGACCGGGACCAGGACTACTTTACAGTTCTCTATTTCATCCACATTTGTTTTTGAGGTCATAGACTTTCACGGAGCTCAATCACTTAGGAGTTGGTCCTACGACGAGCTTTCATGTCCAGGGTTAGATGCAGTTTTTGACGAGCTTCACGATGGTATGGTTTTCTTCTCAATATTTTATTAACCAAAAAAATTCATAATGACTATGCTTCCTAAAACAGTAATTATTTCAAGTCCATGGGATCTTTGCTCACCCAAAGTGCTTAAGAAATGACTTTACAATGAACTTCCCTATTAAGGATTAGATGTAATTTCTCACTGCCTAAAATTTGGTATAGTTTTCACATCGAGATTTCATTGGCCAAGGTGTGGGTGGGTGAGGCTGTAGGTGTGAGGTGCTATATTCCTACACATCAACACCCACACCCACACCCTCAGGTTGTCAGCACTACGCACCGTAGCAATCATGGATTTGGTGAGGACTAATTCCAGCAAAAGAAAGCTGATTTTTTCATTGTCATGATTGGTAATGATTGTCAATGATNTTGAAAACGGTCTAAGTCCACAACGGGTTCACATTTTTAGATGAAATTTGAAATCTGTCGATAAAATTCGATGTAGCTTGCTATTAAAGTTTAAAAAGTGAAATACTAATAACAGCAAAAGAAAATTCTTGCCAGGGCGAAGGAAAAAACCTTATTTTTTCGCAAACTCCGATCGCAAAAATTTCTTGATAGAAACTCATCATTTGGGTCCAATTTTACCCTCCATAAGTTTCATCAGGGCCCCATGCTCCGAAGCTGAGATCTACCATACCAAAACATCCTGGTTACGCCATTACATCACACACGGTGCAGCATCGATGGGCGAGCCGGCAAAGATCGTGAGAGATGGTTGGGGGCAGAGATAATCACAGACCGTGACAGACGGTAGGGCGCACACACGGTCACGGGCAGTGACAGAGGATGGAGGTCAGAGACTATCACAAATAGTGAAAGATTATCGGACGAGAGCATCGCAGAACGTGACAGACGGTGATGGGCAGAGACCGTCAGGGACAATGACAGGTTGGGGCGAAGCCATCACCTACTGTGATAGACAGAAGGTGGTGGCCGAGACCATCAGAGATGACCTAGATATTGCAGGATTAAATTAGAATTAAAATCGATCAGAATAAGTTTTTTCTATCAATTAAAGTTGATTTTTAATCAAGTTTAATCGAAATTATCAATGCGACTATTTTGCAACAAATCGAAATTAAAATCGATTATAATCAGAAATGTTCAATCGATTATAATCGGAGGATTATAATGATGATTATAATTGTCCGTCTCTGATTATAACTGACTGATAATATCTGATTTTAATCGATTACAATTTTGATTTTGCTGCAGAATAATTGGATTTGTGATTTTGATGGTGGCCACAGGATTTTGAAATTTGAATCTATTTTAACCGCTGAAATTTTTCACTGGGTTATGGTCAGAAAGATTCCTATTATCAAATAAATGTATTTTGTCTTGAAAACAAGCAAGTGCAGCCAACGTGAACTTCCGCTTTTTTTCTAATATTTAGTCGATTTCGGTCACGAAAATGAAAATTTTATCGAAACTAATATCATATTCAGAATCAGCATTAAAACAGGGTCCGATTTATGAATATTTGAAATATTTTTGACATATTGTTTTCATCGAAAATTTTTACTATACTGCTCTCTCCCCTCAGAATACTTGGGTTCAAAATGAATTTTACCAAAGTGAGATATCGACAGTGGTAAACGAGCTCTAAAGTTGTAAAATTAAAATAGAACACAAATTGGAGAATGCTTAAACAAAAAAAGCAGCATTTTCATGGAATTCATTTGCTGGTCCAACCATCCTGGCAGATGGGAGGAGTACGGGAAAATTTTTCAATGAAAAAACAATGTCGAAAATATTTCAAATAATCATAAGTCGGACCCTGTTTTAATGCTGATTCCAAGGGGGAAAAAGCTGATTTTCTGATTGTTAAGATTGTCAATCATTGCCATTGATTTCTGTACATACTTTTGGTTGTCAGCACTACGCACCGTAGCAATCATGGATTTGGTGAGGACTAATTCCAGCAAAAGAAAGCTGATTTTTTCATTGTCATGATTGGTAATGATTGTCAATGATTGTCTGTGATTGCGAATGATTCTTAATGATTGCTTGCGAATTTTCGACTATCATGCAATAAATTTTGGTGGTTTTTGATACTGTTTGAAATTATCTTCATGAAGCGCAATGACAATCATGCTTTAGTAGGAAACTCACGACTTGATTTCTGATGATTGCCAATGATTGTTTTGATTACAATCAGCGTTTCCCCCCTTCGCTGATTCTGAATATGATATTAGTTTTGATTCAATTTTCATTTTCGTGACCGAAATTGACCAAATATTAGAAAGAAGATGTTAGAACAATGCCTATGGAATTAAAATGTGAAACACGATGCCACTGTTGTTACTAATCACCAAGAAACTGTCGCGTTCCATATATTTTCTGATATATTAATTCACAACTCTTTACGTCGTCCTCTAGAGCTTCAATGAGGGCATAGTTCATCTATTCCAATGAGATATCTAGCTGATATTCGATCGTGAATCTTAGATTAATAAAGTCTGCCATGACCCATGCTTGTCTGTAGAAATCACCTATCACGACTGTGATCATCCGGAGCCCGTCTGTCACGGTCTGTGGGGGGCAAATTTCTACCATATAGACTTCAACACTCCTTTCAGATTGTGCTTCATAAAAGCAGAAGTTCATGTTGTCTGCACTAACTTGTTTTTTCAAGACAAAATACATATATTTGATAATAGGAATCTTTTTGATCATATATGCTGAGATCCTAGAATATTTCCAACATCATTATCGCACGAAAAGCTAATTCTTTATTACTTCACTATATCTTTATTTTTTAAAGATAAATGATTCATTTATCTTCATATTTCAAAAATAAAGGATTCATTCGAACGTATTCTTCAGTTTAAAGGATAGTAATGATAATGGGTGACTCCTACTTGTAGAGAAAGAGTTCATCTATTAAATGATGTATGTATTACCAAATTATATTGGGTTGCGTAATATTGCCGATAGCGGGCACCATTCTTGCGACACTTTGTCTTGACCACAGCAAAGGTGATGCCTTCTATCGACACTTTTACGCTACGCAATAGAATTTCATAATACATAAATCATTTCATTGAGGAAATCTGTCTTTACAAAGCTACATATATCTCGCCTTTTGGTCAAAGATGGCCATGAAACATATAGCCGTCTTTGGCCAAAAAAAAACTATTGTTATTCTAATCTGTCTAAATACTAAAATTGGTCTGAAATTATGCAAAACAAAGTTTCGAAGAATATATTATAATATTATTAAGATATATTTAAATCGCTTGAACTGGTTAGGAATTATAAACGAAAATGTTTCTCACATACTTGCAGAACACCCTGCACATCTCATAATGCATTGTTGCAAAGTATTATTTATACTCACAGGAATACGTCGATTATTATGGTTCAGCTGGGGTGCAACATATAGCACTGAATACATCGGATATCATAACCTCGGTAAACTCCAATAGATTGTGAGAAAGCTAACAGAATTGTTTCTAATAAAAGGTGTCGAGAATGCGCGAACGGGGCTTACACTTTTTACAAGTACCAAAAAGTTATTATACTGATCTTCGAGAAAGACTTCAACATTCCAAAGTGAATATTTCGGAAGATTTAGACACGGTAAGAAAATTGAGAATAGGAATTTTCTTTATTTAATTGCAGTGGGCTATTTGGGTATAGATCGAGAAGCTGCACATTTTGGTTGACTATGATGACAACGGATATTTGCTACAAATCTTTACAAAGCCAATGCAAGACCGACCAACTTTGTTCCTCGAAATTATTCAGCGCAAGAACCACAATGTAAGTTCATGCATAGTGACACTAGAAACCTTAACTGTTAATCAGCATCTTTATTTATAGGGTTTTGGTGTTGGAAACTTCAAAGCATTGTTCGAAGCCATCGAGCGTGAGCAAGAAGCACGCGGAAATCTGTGATCGCTCTTACTTCGAACGGCTTTCATAATGACTTTAAACATTAAGGACAGCGCCATATCGTCAGACGAACTAAACTTGCGTAGAAATAAAGTTTATAGTGAACATTAGACTAAGGATGTGACTGTGGATTAGGGGTGGACCATTTAATTTAATACGAGTTAATACACGCCGTTAATTAACTAAAACCGTTGACCGTTAATATTAAAGAATTAACCTTTGTATGAAAACCGTTAACCGTTAATATTAACGGTTAACTAATACGTTAACATTAGTATTAACGGTTAACTANTAGTATTAACGGTTAACTAATACGTTAACGTTAGTATTAACGGTTAACTAATACGTTAACGTTAGTATTAACGGTTAACTAATACGTTAACGTTAGTATTAACGGTTAACTAATACGTTAACGTTAGTATTAACGTTAACGGTTTCTAGTTAACGTTAATATTAACTTTAACGGTTTTTAGTTAACCGTTAATTTACCGTTAATTAACTCATTAACGTATAAAACCAATCATATATCGCTTAATTTTGAATTTTTTCATGAGAAAATCAACATTCACACAATAACTATTTTCATGCAGTAGATGAGGATGTCAGTATGAGCTACGAATTGAAATCATATCTATATTGTTCCAGTCTCATCTTACAAGACATTCCTGAATTCTCATACGAACAGTTTAGGAGAATACGAGAATCTTAAAGCGGGACATTTTAAGTTAGTTTGAAATCGACGGTTCATTTTGTTAATCATTGCTATTCTCTTTCTCGTAGAGAAGAGTCTAGCAACAACGAGGGTGTGGGTGTGGGTGTGGGTTTAGAAGCAAACACCCAACAACCCCACCCACGCTCCCACCCACGCCCACACCCACACCCACACCCGCACTCACACCCACACCCACACCCACACCCACACCCACACCCTATGATATTCGAAATCAGCGTAAAAACCTACGTCGATTGATATAAATTTTAATATTATTCGAGTACTTTGATTTTTTTCAAAATTTCACATTAGAATATTTGAGAACTTTTACAATCAAAAATAGAAATTTTCAGCAGAAATTATAAATGCATCAAGACTTTTGAATTATATATCAATCGACGTAGGTTTTTACGCTGATTTCGAATATCATATTTTTATTACAAATAATATGAGTACTGGTTGAGAAAATAGGGAATCAGGGGCAGAATTCCTATTTTTGCGTGTTAAAACAAGAACAGTTGATTTTTCTCGAGAGTAGAAAATAAATTTAAAAAAAGCGATGCATAGTTTTGTTATTCATCAGACAGTGATCATGATAGAATAAGAAGATATGTTCTGTAAGCTAGCAGAAAAACTAGATAGATTTGCAAAATACGGTACTATCATTTATAGGGTCGCTGATTAGTGTATTTTTAAGAATATGCATGTAACATGTGATACAGCTTGAAAAGATATTTCTAGACTAAATTTTGTATGAGAAATCCGAATATCGAATCGAAGATGATAGAAACTGTAATAGTTAGGACTTTTTAGGTCAATTTTCCGAAAAACACAGTTTTTAATGATTTTGATGCCCTCTCAGTTTTTTCCATTTTTCTCAAGGGAGAAACAGCGGACTTGAAGTACAAAAGTACGTCAAAGTACACTACTTGAAGTAGCTCAAAGTATCACTCAAGTAGCGCAAAGTTAGAACAAGTAACTTGATATAACTTCAAGTAAATGTAAAGTTGAAAACTACGTGAAAGTAAACTACTTGAAGTAGCTTCAAGTATTTCGATGTAAGTCGAAGTAGCGTAAAGTAGCTCTAAGTCACTTCAAGTCCAAAAGTCCGCTGTTTCCCCCTTGATTTTTCTCCGCAAAAGTCTTATCAAAAGGCAAAAATAAGGACATATTCGTGATCAGCATTAAAAACTGATTCTATTAATGAAAATTTTAGGTAAAAATAAAAAGTGCTCAAATTTTGAATTACGCGCACCTTGGTACTATATAACTACAAAGTTTGAAGTCTATAGCTTTTACTATGGTGAAGAAACTGTAACAACGCTGCCATGTACTATTTTAAAAAGTTGCCAGCAGCTAAAATTTGATATAAGAACGGTAGAAATGTTCGTATCTCGAGCGTTTCTTTCATTAATATCTGTTAGAACAAAACATTTTTCTTTTACCAACGTATTTTTGTATCTTCACCTGTCGGTGAGATGTATATATATATAGTTCAATATTAGTCCGTTGCAACTGAATCAAAACAAAATGCCACATGAACAGTCAGCTGAAAGTAAAAAACAATTTCGTTTTTTCGTGTTACATTTAAAACAATTACATCCATCATGGAAACCGAAAAATATTGCAAAATTTCTTCTACACTGCGAAAAGTCACTTTCCTATACAACAACAACTGCTTTGAGCCTCAAAGTTTGGAGAATATTGGAGAGAAATTATGAGGATGCGAATACAACGATATCGAACAATTAAAAAACGCCATAAAAAAGAAATGGAAGAAATTTAGTGTTTCTGTATGTCAATGAATGATAGATAAAATGTCAGCACGTTTAAAATTAGTTATCGATGAAGGTGGTACTCAAATATAGAAACAAGGACAATTTTTTATGTTCTTTTTCTTTAAAAATTGTACTGTTTTTCAAATGATAATTGAGATTGTGGCGAAAATTTTGAAAATAATACTGTTATGTTCCTTTTTCAAAGTTTAGTTTATTTCATAATAATATAATAATAGGCAGTGAGTCCCTATTTAAAACATAACATGGGAGAGAAAAAAAACAACCGAGGGAAAAGAGAAAAAGGGAAAAGAAAGCAAACAACTAGTCACGGAGGACTGTTGACCTCTGACATTAGATAGTAAAGATGTCAGACCCTAACACCATTCCCGGATCAAGAAAAAAGTTTTTGTTTTTACAAAAATAACGAAAAAGAAAAGAAAGAAAAGAAACAACAAAATAATATATATATTTAAAATATATATTTATCGATATGAAAAACACCTGACTAGATATAGAAATGAGCAGAAAAAGAAAGAACATATGAAGCAACAAAAGAAAAAAAACAGTTTACTATTGCTGTTCTTCATTGATTGCACGTGGTGTGTTTGTCGGTAACGAGAAAATTGAAGACGATTTTTAATGATGATGATGAGATTGACGACGACTATGATGATAATGATCACGATCGAATAAATCGTCAGGTAAATATTGATCGAATTCTTGTTGAAGCGTCGAATTTTTTATGCCAATAATTAATGATGAGGCGACGATTTTTACATGCCGATAGTAAATATGATGTTGTCGAAGAATATCTTTAATTGACGACATGGTGAATCGGTGGTAAATTCGACGAACTAAAATATGAAGATAACGATGTAACCGATGAGTATAATTACGTTTTCGGTTTCGTCTTTGTCATGCTGCATCAGATCGTCGATATTTTGGTTCATCAGTTTGTCGATTGTGTGTAGGGATGCACCAATTCCAATTCGAGTCTATTCAATTCTTAGAATTGGTCGGCATTGGTTGGACTTGAAATTGGAATTGGTCTGGAATTGGTTGGAATTGGTTGGAACTGGTCGGAATTGGATTAGAATTGGTCGGAATTGGTCGGAATTGGTTGGAATTGGAATTACTCTGGAATTAGTTTAGAATTGGTTTAGAATTGGTTTAGAATTGGTTTAGAATTGGTTTAGAATCGGTTTCGAATTGGTCGGAATTGGTCTGAAACGGGTATAGAATTGGCTCTAAATGAGTGTAAAATTAACTGAAATTGATGGTATAATTGATTAGACTTGACTAGTAAGTGCTTGAATTTGCCAAAAATAAAATAAAGAAAGTGCGACGCATAAGGCCTTAAATCTGAAAATTGAGATTTTTATCATAAAAACTACAACTTGAGCCACAATTAATAACATATTTGGAATCAGCGAAAAAAACTGACTCGAACAATGTATATTTTAAATACTTTCGGCAACTTTGTTTTTCGACCGAAAATTTAACTGGGGTACCCCTCAGGGTTCAGTCCAATAAAACAAAATGACTTTTTTTAGTGCTCAGGCATACGATTTTTTCTATATTACTAAACATTTTACATGCTCCACAGTTAATTACTGCTGTCCAAGTTGCTTTCTGATTAGTTTATTTTTTTGACTGAACCCTGAG